GAAAGAAATTAGGATTATTCTATGTGTACACCTTGTGGTGTACACCTTGTGGTGTACACAATCCCCACAAATATTTTATTGTGTGTGGGCCCCCCTCCATGTAAAGGGGGTGTAAAAGATTGTGTAAACTATTGTGTAAACATAGCACTTCTCAAGAAATTAAGGAGTTGGAGGGGGAATATCCAGAGATTGGGGGAGGGGAAGAGTGGTTTTGGAGGCAAAGATTACGAGCTGATTGGTTAGAGGAAGGGGATGGAAACATGAGAGGTTTTCTTAATAGGGCTTCTGAAAGGCAAAGGAAGAATGAAATTTGGAGAAGTAGGGAGACCAGAGTTTGGAAGGAAACTGAGCAGGAAGTGCTTGAGGTTATCATTGAATATTTCAGCTTTATTTATACTTGTCACGAGCCTTTGAGTAGGAGTTGAAGGTGGGCTTCGAAAATTGTACAGGGAGTTTGTCTGAGGCGGTGGTGTGTTGGTGTGGCGGCCTTTTACTAGAGAGGAGGTGGTGGTGACATCGAAGAGTATGGGGCTACAAAAGCCTCAGGCAATGACCACTCTCTACCAGCATCATTGGGGCTTATTGGGGATTCTATTATTGAAGAATACCTGGAAGTGCTGAACAATGAGGGGTTGGTCAAAGCATTGGAACACCAATATTGTTCTCATCTCTAAAAAGAGTTGGACTGAGCATGTCTTGGACTATAGACCCATTTAGATAATCGATTATGCGTTCATTTCATTGGAAATATTTCAAATTGTTTCGTTTTGAGACAGAAAACGTGTAAGTAATACAAATGCAGCAATCGATTGCACTTAAATAATATCAATCTGGTAAGCATTTGGTGTTTGGACCACAATTCAGTTGATTGTGTAAGGCAAGCCAAAATTGTCAAATTAGAAAAAAATGGACTATGTAAAATTAGAAAAAAATGGACTCTTAATGAAAAAAATGGACTATAACCCCAGCCCAAGCCAAATTTCTTGCTACATATTCATAATATTTTTACATAAACATGATGTGATGAGATACAATCGTATTATAAGTAAATTATTATGTAACTGCTTATATACAAGTAATATTATTCAATTTTATTTCGTTCATGATACAAGGGAAAAATTTCATTTCGAAGAGTTTTACCATGCACCCCAAGTTGTAAAGAAATTTGAGGTGTTACTAAAAAATTATTTCGTTCATGATACAACTGGAAACTGTTTAAAATAAATTAAAATTTTCCAAATTTACTTCGCATCCTATGGCTCGCCACACTATTGAATTCGCTATGCATCAACTGGACCCGAACTAATATGAAATTCCAAAGCCAAGGCAAGAGCATTATTCAGGATATGTGAGGTCTTATTACATCGTTATAATATTAAACGCAAGTCACAACATTATATGCCACCATGTCATTAAGGGCAATCGGCGATCAATCGAGTACTTTAATACATTCCCGTGTAATCTCTCGAGAAGTCCGAACAAATCTTGCATTTCATTTGTGGATTGACATGTTCTATTAGCATTTCACATATGAAAATCTCGAAAAATACGTAGCATTATAAAGGGACAACCAGTTGCACATATATGTATGCTAATACCTTGATTAATTTCTTAATAAACCTGAAGAAATTTTTAAAGAAATTTTGTAATATCAATCCCACATCACAAACGTGAGCTAAAATATATAGGATATGGAAAAAGAATTCTCGTAGTTCTAATAGAAAATCATAGTCAAATAATTCATTCATGTAATAAATTGGCATATTCAGCAATGTGATAGAAGTAAAATGAATATTGATCTCTATCCTTTGTGAGCAAATACCCAAAAATTGATAACGAGCCGACACGAAAGAATATCTATCAGCAGCAACAGCAGCAGCATTCTCTACTCGTAGATAGCTTTACTTATGAACCAGAGATGCAAAAAAACTGCATGCAACTAAACTATTTGTCACTTGTAATCATGTCTTCAATGACATAACCTCAATGGCACTGCCTAGCGGCCATGCTGCTTCAACCAGCGAATTTTGATACTCGACTTTTTTCACCAATGTAATCTCTTGCTCTGGATCGAGGCCTGTTTAATGAAACATGAATCATCCATAAAATTAAGCAACGTGAATTCGAGGTGTGAGTTATCAAACAGTTTGTAGTATTATCACTTACCAAACCCATCTATGAGCAGTGTGTATTGATAGACGAGATCCATGCATAAGTACGGTAAATTATCTGGATCCACACGAGGATATTTAGACTTTGCATCTGCCAGCTTCATTTGGCATGCTTTTTTGGCCGCATCCTCAAAATCAGCGGGACGGACTTTAGCAACAGCATTTTTTGGATCCACAAAACCGGCCTATGTGCAAGTAATGAATTCATAGGATGTCAGACAATTAAGATACTTATTTACCTAGACCCTGGGGCATGTTTGGTACACAGAAGTCAACAGGGCTGGACTATATTAATTAAGAGAGAGAAGTAAAATCTCCTTTATAATACTGTCCAGTCCCATCCAGTCTACTTATTAAATATGCTGTGAAAGAAGAAACCATGAATTGGCAGAACTTTTGCGAGAATCTAAAAAGAAAACAATTTATACCTCAGCAGCTCGATCAAAGAAAAATGAAGCAACAAACAGATTCTTCTGACCATTTCCTCCTCCGCCATTCCACACCCCACCAAAAGTGCACTTCATGTGCGTGCATGTAGGTTCATCAATTTTAAGAGCCTTATTAGCTGCTTCTCTACATGCATTCAGGCTCGAACCAGATGAGAAAGCAGATGCATCGTATTCTACTCCTCCATACTTGTACGAACCTTGTGTGGAAAAATATAAGTGGATCCATAAGGATTAACTTGCCAAACATCAAAATTATAGAATGAAAAAAAGGCCACAATAATAGTAACAAAGTTAAAATACTGCTAATTTCTAAAAATGTTTCCTGCAAGAAGAAAAAATAGGGCTAGATAATAGTTTTGATATAAAATAAGAGGACAAAATACTAAGTGCAAAAAGTGAAATAAAGCTCATGTGAACAGTCACAAAACGAGGCTGCTAAACTTCCACTACTAGACTAACAGGTCTATTTGAAAGAACACCAAACGGATGGTTTTGAGTCTTTTGGCTTGGTGATATGATCGTAATGGACGAATCCACATTTTATTATGATTGACTTGTGCGCAATCAACTTGATTGTTACATGTGCACAATCTACAAAAATTTGTTAAGCATAATAAATTCAATCTAGTTTAAATATATAAACAGAAGTACAAGCCCAAGCCATTAACACTCTTATCACAAGTGTTCTGCATAGAATAGTTTGAGTAAGAAATGAAACTTAAACTTCAGTTTTTTTTTTCCCGATTGTTGATGGTCAAAGAATTATTTATTATCAAGAGTTATGTGAATATGTCACCCATTAATTCATTATTATAGAAGTACTTTCATCAACTCAATTTGCTCTAGGAAGCCAATTGCAAGGAGAAAAAACGCCCTCGAGCACTGTGCTTCAGCAGTTACTCATGGAACCTATTCCCATTTCAAGCTAGTGAGAGAGAGGGGCCCGAAAAGGGACCTTTGTCCAATTAAGATGCCACTAAGACGAATATCTCGCATTGGCCAGGACATGGGATTCTAAATAGTGAAGCGACCAAACAAGTGTTATAGCTGAAATAATTTATGAAGAAATTTAGCACTCGTTTGGGCTTCCATTAATCCCAAAATACATGTTTCTCTTTCTTCTTTTCAACCACACCTTTTTAAATAAAATAATATTACAAGTAAACCCAAAATTTTTCCTTCTTTTTAACTACGCATTTTAAAAACATTGCTATTACAAAATACCTTTTTCTCTAAAATCTAATTATAATGGAGCTCAAATAGGGGCTTATTTTGGCAAAAGAATTTACCGTATTCAGTTTTGGTTTTGAGTTTTGTCTTCATTGTCATGCTAAATGGTGATGAATTATTAATAGAAAAAAATGATAGCTTAAAAAACTTTCAACACCCTCCGAATTCCAGATCCTTAGACATATAGCAGAGAAGAGCATGTATGAATAAACAATCTCATCTAGAAAAGTTACATGATCCTTGGATTTACTTTCTTGATAACTTTATTTCACGTTAGTTGGTAATTGTATACCTCTAAGGCACAAAGCTTTCCCTTTTCTGACATACATTCACATATTAAAAATGTAACATGTAACGGTTATGTCATCAAGAAACCTTGCAAATTGTACTAGAAAATGAACAAGAGGAAGCAATGACTATAATATTGATGTAAACTATAGGACTATTTTTTAATATCGCTTACAAGGAATTTAGGGTTCACTGATGCAAGTGTATCTCTAACCTTTTTGAGGATGAAAGTAACACCATTAACTCAACAGACACATGGACACACACACACACACACAGAGCCCTTCTGCCCCAACATTTAAGGTTAAATCAGGAGAACAAGAACAAACTTACCATTATAACCAGACAAGATGCAGAGATTGCCGGATTTTTCAACCTTCAAAATTTCAGCTCGTGCTGCCAGTAAGCCATAGTGCAAGTAACTGTTCATCAAATTACATAGGTCATAAGTTAAATATAGAGGGGCATATAAGACTATTTCCTCTATAAGAAAGAGTAAATTCTAATAAGAAATATGTACTCATAAAGAAAGGAATGACAAGCTCAATCATTTTAGTAAGACAAGGGAGTTACATAATTGGTAGAAGGCTATTCCAGGAAGTCATCCTCTACAGGGTACAAGTATTGATTTACAAGTGAGAGAGAGAGAGAAACCTGTGGACATAAAGGTTATATTTTCGACCCTTGAGATACATTTCCTGCACATAAGTATTCTCTCCATCTGATAACCTAGGAGCCTTTGCAGCATCAGCATCAGAGATGGCATATGCCATTTGTACAGATCCACCTCCAAGATCAACCACTCCAACGGTAGACGGATATTCTTCACCCAAATTCCCTAGTAGATAGTTGATTGTCACCTGCATAGACATGAAAAAATTCTAAATAATTCCATAGACACCGGGTAATAAAAAAATGATATATCAATTTTTTTTAAAATTCAATCCATGTTACTTGTGTGCCAGTCTACTGCAATTTCAATGCCATTTGAAGAGTATAGATTAACACTGGCAATTGCATCCATCCATGAATCTTCTCTAGACCAACCCCCCACCCAAAAAAAAAAAAAAATCTCTCACTTTAAAATGTAAAAGTAAAGCTCATCAGCCATGGGAAAATGCTTTAGCATGTGAGTGCATCTTCATTTGATGTTTTAATTAGACACGTGATTATATTGAATTATAGAGAGTACAATGCCTATTTCTATGAAGGATATTCCAAAAATTAATAAAGGAATGTGGAGCTGTCAAGAGAGGCCTTTTTGTCCCACATGGACTAGGTGGAGGCAGTGGCAAATCCAGGACTCGATACCAGTGGTGGCCTAATTTAACTGTGGGAAAGTTTTTCAAACACAAAATATAATAATATAAAAAAAAATCATACGAAATATAAAAAATTTCAGATTTCAGTGGGGGCCACAGACCCCACTAGCCCCCACCTCCCTCCGCCACTGGATGGAGGAAGAAAAGCTCTTCTGATACAACGGTGTGATGTGATCATGTGGAGCTCTGCAGGGAACAAAAGCTGTGGATTTAGTGGAGGGGGACTCTGGAGCAATCTCTAAACAGATTTTTTGATACTTTCTTTCCAAATGCTTAACTTATTGGATAATTAGAAAAAGTATTGAGACAGGGTAACCATTTCAGAAATAGCTCTCACATCCAGTTTTGCTATTGGAAGGACAGTGGCAGACACATTCTCATAGTTAAAACATTGATCATATATAACCTCGAGATCAGCTTAGTAAAGAAAACATCACAACCTTTGACATGTGAATCTTCTTATTACCTCACCAAGATCTCAGTAAAGTCATGCCTTCTTATCCTCCCCTCCCCCCTCCGCCTCCACTATGTCTGTCTCTTTGATGATTTATCTAGTTTGGTTGAAGACTAAATGTTTGAACCTTTTTCTTGTAACTTGTCAAACTAAAACTTTTAATTTATATTAAAATGAAACTCACACTGAGATATCTCCAGAGGCTAAGAATTAGATGCTAGCAGCTCAAATTATAAGGCCATATCTTAAATATGTAGACAAGTAGGACTGCTGCATGTCAAGTAAACAACTCTTATAAAATTTAAGTAACATCATAAACAATTTCCCTTTCTTTATCATCTCCTTTTTTTCCTTTCACAGTCACAGACAACATCCGATTTCATTAGTTACTATTTCCATAGTACTACCGTTCAACAAAACAGAAATTTATGTATTATCTGTCAAAGATTTTCACTTCTTCATAACAATTGACACTTTTGTTATTCTACATAGTATTAAATAAGAAGCAACTCTACTGTGCTTCTGTCAAATCCGATTCCTAAAGGCACTGACAGTGGCTTCTGCATGGACTAAAATTATGAAGTTGGACTCTAAACTTAGAAGATACAAAATGGAAGTTATCATAAAGAATGAATCCAGACACGAGAAAAGGCTACAATTTCCAGGAACATGGCATGAAAAGTACTGATCCTATTCCATCTGGGATCTATTCACAAATAATATCCACCGTCTCACCAATGACCTCTCAAGCTTCTTTCTTGTTCTCTAAGAAGTGTACCAAAAGAGAGCACATATATTTCTCTATGAATAGTTTGGAAACCAAAAGAACATGAATAATTCAATTTAGAATTGACGTACCCATTGATAAGCACCTTCCTGATTTCCATCAAGAACGGTGACCCAATCTGCCTTGGACTTGAATGTGCCTCTGTTCTTCAAAAGATCCCTTACCTTTAGCAAGGAACTTTGAGTGAATAAATATTGAAACATCAAAAAAAATAAAAATAAAAATGTGGGAAAATCTAAAGAATGAATCAAGCTCACCGCTTGCAGTATCCTGTCTGGTGTATCACCATCTAGTTGCCTAAGACCTGCAGTTGCCTGTGTAGACATCAGAATTAGGATTTCATATGAATGGCGCAGGAATAAAAAATTAAAAATCACATGACATGAATGTACTGAAGCAGAAAACTGCTAACCCCGACTCTAACTGGTGTATTATGTTGCAATTCTCTGGGAACTGCAGCTTCAGCTTTCTCTAGTAGCTCTAGTAGGGAGTCAGCAGCGGCTTTGGGGTCTTTTGCAAATGAACTCAAACCTGGTTTTTTCTACAATATCAAAACTAGACTGAGACATGAGAAACACAGAGGATGAGGAAAATAAAAAGGAGAAGTTTTAAAACACTAGTTTTGCTATGACCACAACATGTAAAAGTGTCCACATGTGTTTGTGCATTTAAATGCGCATATAAAATGTGTGCGTTTATATACTCATAAATATACAGAGACATACTCGTATTACAGCAATTCTTTTAAGTTTGACCCTACAGCCCAATGCTGCTGCCTAAGACAGACAACAATAACAAGAAGCTAAGCCTTATTTCACTAAATCTGTGGGTCGACTATGTATATAATTTTCTGCCACTGTCAATCATTACTACATCAATAAAGTTAAATCTTTTGCAACCACATCAGCCCACATTAACTTTTGTCGTTCTCCCTCTTCTTACTAGCTCTACTAGATTGCATCACTTCTGCAAATCAAAGCTTAACTCTACAGACAATAAAGATGGGAAAAAAAAACATTTATATGTAAATTACTGCCTCTCCAAGGAGCAATACAATAATTCAGAGCCATATTTAAGCATAATGTACCAATAAATGGAGGCAACAAAGCAATCATGACTGCATATAACATCACAAATACATTGAAATGGGCATTTTCTGGTGCCCGAGAGCAGATGGAGGGTGTGCTACACACAATGAAGAAGGTTTACAGCATCCTTACATTTTTTACGATAAAATTGGAGCATGATAAAAGAAAGATCAAGTCAGTTACTCAATGGACATGGCAAATTTACCTGCACAAAAAGCTCCAGTTCTTTGCCAATAGGAATAAGATCCAATTTCTTGTCAAAGCAAAAGACGTGGACCCTACTACCAGAACTTCCGGCATCAAAAATCACAGCGTAGCTCTGAGTTTTAGGATTCGGAGAGAACTTGCGAGGAAAGGACTCCATTGAATTGGCAGGGTTGCGTGATGGCATGAGAAAGAACAGAAGAGTGATTAGTAGGACAGGGACCGAGATCATGAGTAGGGCACCACGATATCTCTGTATTTTGTCATAGACCGTCTCATGTCTCGTTCGCCGCGATATTTTCTCCATTTGAAGTAGTTCGGCTTGACCTTGCTGTGATTCTAAAAGTTCTGCAGCCGACGGTGATCGATATCGGATCTGACCATTTCCTGGCGTCTTCAGCGGCTGCGTCTCCTGTACAGACTCCAGCTCTATTTCCTCTGTACTTTTTCAAACAGATCATATCAAGGAAATGGAATCAGTAAGCAACTATAACTCCATTATTACAACATGCAAAATGAAAATCGTGTTGCATGTAGAGATACCTAACTGCTTCCGAGCAAATCCCATTAAGATTTAACTACAATGCTTGTCTAATGATAAACACAACTGTATCCTTCTTCTAGCAATTCATACTTTGAATTGCTTCTAGGCAATCAAAATACAGTTTTATTCAATTAACTATGCAAATCTCTACGTCATTCGTGTCAAAACAGGATTGAAAAGCTTGACTAATGCATCTGGTCAACTCCTGGGAACTGTTTCAACTGTGAATTATGATCTAAGCACATAAAATCGCATGAGTCTTCACCTTTTCCTATAGAATTTTGCAAATTGAGACCAGCCAAATACAGTTGGATCTCAGTTCTCCTATAACTTTCATGGAAAACTATCAAAATATCCCGCATTAGTGAAGCATCTTTCATGAAACCGAACACACACATCCATAATTTTACTTTCCCCACTATCCAAGCACATAATATGAAAATGTTATTAAATCCAACAAAACGCGTGTGCCCATAGACAGATATTGATATAGACAGAGGGACAGCCCACCACATGCCAGATCCAAATCAGAAAATGGCAAAGTAAAACTTCAATCGCATTCATATAATTAAGATTTAGCAAGCACATAGATGCATTGTACCAGATCATACAAAAACTAACCATTAAATTAATCAATCAAGCAGCCGACAAATAGATCACAGACATATACAAAACAAAACGAACAAAAACAATAAACCCACTTCCCCAAAACCTGCATTTTCACGGCAATCAAACCCAAAACCCATAATCGCTTGCAAATAATAGTGCCGCTTAACACAGTAAAGAGTAAATCAAATAGATTTAAATTTAACTGACCTTGGAATCTCTCGGGTGGCAGTCAGAGGTACGGAGCGTTGAATGCCGATGATCAATGATCAATTAAAGGCACTAATTCTCCTACAAGCAAAAGTAGGATGTTTGGTGTGTAGCGTACGTATAGTGCTTAGTGTTACGTTAAGTCGTTCCTCTTTTTCTAGATCTAAGCGTAAAGTTTGGTATGGTGGAAACTGGAAAGGAAAATACCAGACGGAAAGGGAAATTAGAGGTTGGAAAATATTCTAAATGGTAGGAAAAGGACTTATTAGGGTAAATTTCTCCACGAGTCCCCAACTTTTTATAAGTGTGATATTCGTGTCCTCAAGTTTCTATTTGTAGCTCTGATATTCCCAATTCATTGACATTGTACAACGTTAGGGATTAGTGAAGTTCTCCATCCCTAAACCCGTCCCGTCTTGAATTACCCAAACCAATCTTGAATCTTTTTATTTAAATGTTTTTTTCTATTTGAATCGTATTTAAAAATAAATATAGTATTAAAGAAACAATGAATAATTAAAAAGTTCGGTAGATCCCTGCCCTTCTCTTGAAAATTTTGAGATGAGGATGTTGTCTTGCTCCATCACGCTCTCTTTCGTTGTCATCTCTACTATGCATGTAGCTCGATCTGACAAAAAAAATATTAGACATAAAATGATCGTGTGATACATATATGATGTATGATTGAAAGGGTAAATTTATTCAAAAATAGCAACATTTAGCCTCCGTTTGAATCTCTTTCTTTTGGGAAAAATGCATTTTGCTACAGTGGGAAATCATTTAACAATCAAACCAATACGCCATCAAGTCAGACTACAAATTCTAGCCACTTGACCGTTGCCATGAAAGTACCTATTTTGCCCTCCAATCCAAATATCACGTGCCCAACTACCACAAATATCATTTTACAAAAAACATGGTACCCTTTTTTTTTACTCAAAAACGTGCCAACACGGATGTCAGGTATTTTAATCAGTTGAAGGATATTGGGGCCCACGCAAATATCAATTTCCTGTTCAAAACTTGGGAAAAAAACGGGTGTCAAACGGGGCCTTAATATAATTTGAATAGTGATTGTTGGATTTTTAGAATAAAGGAAAAAAAATTGAACAATTTTATTCTTTCAATTAAATGTTCGTGTGCCTAAAAATTTAACATCGAGGAAGACGCTTTCCGTTGGATTATGATACCGCGTGTACAATGTTAAAAGGTTGGGGGACATGGAGTTACAAAAGAAAGTTGGAGATATAGTTCCAATAGTTATAGAAGATTGAGGACCCAAAAGTAATTTTGCCTTTATATTAAACACGTTTAGTTTGGCAAATTAGACCGGGTAAGGCTGAAGATTGGAAAATTTGTAGCATCTGTGCTTGTTCTTTACTATAGTTGACATTTAGGTCCTCAATTAATTTTTGTAGTCAGTAGATCTTCAATTTCAAATTTTCGAAAAAAGTAAATGTAGATTTCATCCAAGATTACATAATTGCACGAAATAAGAAATCTTAATTAAAAATATTATGTGGGTGTTTGATGGATATTATTGAGAAAATAATGTATTTTAAATAATAATATGATGTAAAATACGCAGTTAAAAAGTAATGAAAAGTTATTGATGTGATCGAAAGTATTATTTTATTGAAAAATGTGCGACTGAAAATAAGTTTTGAAAAAATGTATATCAAACATGGACTATATCAAGTCTACTAGCAGCAATGACTTTCAATTCCTTTCGTTGTCCTGGGCTCCACCTTTCTAGTTGTCCAAATATAAATTTAGAAATTAAAACTAGACTAGGAATTTTTTAAAATAACTTTGATGACAATCTTAGGGCCTTCAAATATTCTTTGTACACAACACAAATATAGAGGGTGTTTGGTGGAAATTAAAATTGGATTTTTTATAGATTGTGATAGAAGTTTTTGAAATGTGTGATTGAAAAGATGTGAGACTCATGAAAGATGTGGTTAATATTGATTGTTTGACATTGACTTAGATTAAAATCGAATTTTAATCCGGCCCAAACATGTTCATAGAAGATGCTACAGAAGAAAGGCTAAGTAAAAAATGCCCTCAAGAATTCTACTATTCATTTGGTATGCCATTTAAAAAATCAAATGTTATTTCTAAAATTAAGATTTTTTTTGACATGTTTGGATAATTTTTAAAGAATTTTATCTAATTAAAAAGATTTTGGATGGAAAAATATGATCTAAAGATGATTTCCTCGAAAAGATCTATCAGCAAAATCAAAAGTCAAAACTATTTCAAACAAGCTTCACCGTAATAAAAATAAGGCTCCGTTCGGGAGGGATTAAAATCCAATTAAAATTGAAAATATGATCGTTATGGGTCCCACTCATCTAATAAAAGTCAACAATAACGACTATATTTTCAATTTTAATTCGATTTTAATCCTTCCCATACAAGGAAGTCTTATAACACAATCCAAAATAATAAACAAATTTATATTTACAATGTTTTTGCAAAACATTAGCCAATGCAAATAAATCACAAAATAGAATATTTTCAAAAGATTTTAAATTTAAAGATCATCTTGTGCGTAATAGAAGTTATATATAAATTTAAAGATTAAAATTTTTAAAACACTCCAACAAACTCTCTATTTTTAACTATTTATTTAATTTTTTTAAAAATATATATTTATTTCTTTTCCTTATTTTCAATTAGTATACATTTTAAATGACAATGGCCAATAAAATCAAATATAAATTGAAGGTTCTTTAATCAACCATCTATTTTTAAAAAATTAAAATATAGCGTTTATTGAATTGAGTTTCATGAGTTTTGTCGGTGCTTTTAGATGAATGTGCATAATTACATCTTATAAATTCAAATCACTTCTAACAAACTCCGTGGAGTTGAC